GAGCCCAGCAGGTCGAGGCTGCGGTGGCCGGAAGCGGCCACTGCACTCCGGTCTGGGCGATGGAGTGAGACTCCAACTCAAAAAAATAAAAAAATAATAAAATTTAAAAATTTTAAAAAATAAAATAAAAATCCTTGAAAGAGTAACTTACACTCAATATGGTCACTTCCTTATATCCTAGTCACATTCTTCAATAAAAAATTGGGTTTTCTTTCCACCACTCCTCTGAAACTGCTTTTGCTCAGGCTATTTAGTGACCTCCTACCTGCTGAATTCAGCTAACTCTTTTCGACTTTATTCCCTTTGACCTCTGTAGTTTTTGATACTTCTGGTCTTTCCTTCCTTTTTAGAAATCTCTCCTTTGGTTTTAATTAAACCATTCTGTTGGGTCTCCTGCTGCTTCCTACTTCTCATTCTGCTTTCTTTTGGCTTTTCTTCCTGTTAATGTTGCAAAAGGATTGTTTTTTTTTTTTTTTTTTTGCTTCTTTATTCTTCTCATTTCAAAAACTTTTCCTATACAATATCATACAAGCTCAGGTTTTTAATCACTATGATCTGGATGATTTCTAAATCTGTATCTCCCATCTAGATGTTTCTAACTTCAAATCCACCTATATAATTACCTTCCTGGACATATCCACCTAAAAGTTAAGCATCTGAACTCTTTCTGTCTACTTTGTATCTCACTGTGTTCCTCTTTTCTTCTTAGCTCAATGAATGAACTCTTCTTTCCTAAGCTGCTAAAGGCAGAAAAAGAATCATCCTAAATATCCCACACCACACCAAATCTTAATTATTTTGCCTCCTACAAGTCTCTCGTATCTGTTGTTTCCTCTGTATTCTTTCTGCTGATACTCTATGTATTCATTGCCTCTATTTATTGCAATAAATTTCTCACTTTTCCCTCTGCTTCTAGTCTCATAATCCTTCAATCCATAACTATTCAAAGGAATCTAATAGGCATTTGGTCATGTAAACCTTTGCTGAAACATCTTCAATAGTTATTTTTCTCCAGTAAGCAAAAAACAACCAAGAAAACAACAAAAATCTCCTAAATATGGTGAACAAGCTTCAACAGGATCTAGCACTTACCTGTGCAGTCACAGTGGGTCCTGCCTTCTCTGACTACTCTGTGCTCCAGAAGTCCTGAAAACTTCGAGTTCCCCAAATATTCTCTGGTCTGTCATATCACTGTGTGTTTTACATGGTGTTCGAACCCTTCATGAAATAGCTTGCCTTTCCCTTTTAAACTGCTTTATAACCATATCTCTATCAAACTCAGATTCCTCCTATTCTTCCTTTGTGTGTTATCAAAACAAAAATCACCTTAGAGGAGTCTGTCTGACTCACATGTTGTCACCTTAGAAGAGTCTCTCTCACCCCCATTGTAGATTTAGGTTTTCTTTCCTCTGCATTCCCGTTGCACTCTGTATCCACTCCATTTTAGTACACATGGTGTGTGTGTGTGTGTGTGTGTGTGTGTGTGTGTGTGTGTGTGTGTGTGTGTGTTTGTGTGTATGTTTATCAACATACAAAAGTAGAATAATGTGAACTATAGTTGCGGGTACAGCTGAAGGCTAAAGTAGGATCTAGGAAGTGGATAGAGGATATTTAAATTGGAGGAAATTCAGTGCTGTACTAGAGCAAGCTTATACCAGCTTATGAGAGGGGATTATTACATGTTCAAAAATTTTTCAGCTTTTACTAAAAATTTAATAATATAAACTTTTAATTAAATAAATTATATTAAAAACAAAGATAAAATACTCAAAGCTCATCACTTCCTAATTATCCTACTGCATTTTACTGCTGAGTTCTTGAAATGATTTATCTATATAGTAGAAGTACTATATAATGCATTGTCACTGTGCATTTCTTCCCAACTTCTCACTCAATAACCTCACATTAATAGCTTGAAATCAGTTATAGTGGGAGTATTTATACTATGTGAATCAGTAGATACTACCAATCCAGGTTTGATTTATTATTTTGTTTATCATTTGGACTTAGAATGCAATGGATAAATTGTTAATAGTGTAGATTAAATAGTGCTTTGTGACTATAGCCATTACATTGTGAATAACACAAAAAATTGAGGAAATATTCTTTTAATATTTGAAAACTACTACCTAATTTAGCAAAGAAGTTGTTTAAGTCAATGATAAATGAGTGAAGTCCCAGCTCATCTTTGTTGTTCTACTCTCATCTTACTTGTTAAAGTCAACAAAAATATCAAACAACATTCATGTGAGAACTAAACTTGTTTGTCAGTTGCAGCCATAGGTTGACTACAGATAGAAGAGTGGCAAAACTCATTGAAAACATTCAGTGGGAATCAATTAGATATTCAGAATTTACATTCAAGCATACTGTATATTTTATTGTTATTTGTAAATTGCGTGCTACATATCCTTTACTTCAGTAAAGTTTATATTAAACTTATTTATATACATATGCATACACTTTTTGGAAGGGCATTAAACATTTATTAATATACTCCTATGCAAAACTGTACAACTAAAGGCATTTAGTCTCCATAACAATTTTTTGAGGTAGGTACTATTGTTATCCCATTTTACAGAATCAGGGAGTTTGAATTACTTGTTTAAGATCATACAACTAAGGCGGGCTTGGTGGCTCAGCCTGTAATCCTGTGCTTTTGGAGGTTGACATGAGTGGATTGCCTGAGCCCGCGGGTTCAAGACCTGCCTGGGCAACTTGGCGAGACCTCATCTCTACAATAATTAAAAAAATTAGCCGGGTGCCGGGCTCGGTGGCTCAGCCTGTAATCCCACGCCTTTTGGAGGCTGAGGTGAGTGGATGGCCTGAGCCCGCAGGTTCGAGACCCGCCTGGGCAGCGAGACCTCATCTCTACAATAAATCAAAAAATCAGCCGGGCATGGTAGCACATGCCTGTAATTCCGGCTACTTGGAAGGCTGAGGCAGAAGGATCGCCGGAGCTCAGCAGGTCGAGGCTGCGGTGGCCGAGAGCGGCCACTGCACTCCAGTCTGGGCGACAGAGTGAGACTCCAACTCAAAAAAAAAAAAAAAAATTAGCCGGGCATGGTAGCGCATGCCTGTAGTTCCAGCTACCTGAAAGGCTGAGGTGGAAGGATCGCCGGAGCCCAGCAGGTCAAGGTTGCAGTGGTCGGGAGAGGCCACTGCACTCCAGTCTGGGTGACAGAGTGAGACTCCAACTCAAAAAACAAAACAAAAAACAAACAAAAAGATCATACAACTAATAAATGAGAGAGGTGAAATTTTCACCCAGGCAATCTGGCTATAAACAGTAAACACCACTGAGAATTTCTTGGCAGAAGAAAAATAAATATATATTTTGGACAAATATATTGTATGATAATATTAAAAATTAACTTGTAGGGAAAAGAGCTGGAAGGAGATGACTGTTTTAGAAGTTATTATAATCCAGTCTTGGAATAAAGTTATTCTTATATAGGAATTAAGAGGAAAAATTAATTCTAGAAAAATTACTGAAATAAAATTTAGTGCAACTGTCAGTACATGTAATATAGTTAATAGAATTGGCTGAATACAATATGCAACAATGTTTGACACAATGCTTTTGAAAACTACTACTCAAGAACTCTGTTTAGTAGTTGAAAGATGTGTTTGATATATCAATAGATTATGATGCTCATGGTTTTAAAAGTACCTATATTCTTTTATACATACACATAACAGATTTTTCTAGATGGAACTATTCTACAACTTCAAATGAGAAAGCCCCTCAAACAATGCTCTTCAACAGAAACCTTAATATATCTGGAAACCAAAATTTGACAGATGCAGATAAAAGCAACCCTTCATTTTCAGAAGTTTTGAATGTGAACTTTGAGTTGGGAAATGAAGTTTGGGATGATTTTGATGATGAAAACTTAATAGAAGTTTCTAGCTTTTCAACTGATACCGAGGAGACAAAAACATCAGGTAAAATTGTGCTTTAGCATGAAATAATTTCATTAGAAATCCTTCAAATATTTTTCATTTCAGCTCCTGGGACTAAGTTTCTCTACCTTTTGTGTGTGTGTGTGTGTGTGTGTGTGTGTGTGTGTGTGTGTGCACTTGTTTAATTAGATTTGGCTTGCTAAGAGTGTAATTTTTAACAAAATTGAAAATGTGACCCTTCTACAAAGAACATTTTTTCCCCTCTAAGGACAGAGGTCAAGGTTATTCCATGATGTTGATATAGCAATCGAGCATTTTGTACTCTGTTGCTCCTGTCTCTTGTAAAAGACCCTATTCAAATTCAGATTGTTTATTGAATTTTCTCTCATAAAACAGACTACCCTGCTCTCCATTCTAAGATCACACATGGTCTGCTATATTTGTGAAGGACAAAAAATTCTATTTTTAAAACTATTCATCTGCTTGCAAAAAAATAACTTCTAGTCAAAATGTTGACTGTTCATGTATAAATAAATAAGAATTTGCTTCTCCTGTATTAGAAATTATATTTAAATTTTATACAATCCAAGAATAATGGGAATTAGTTCTTTGAGTAAAAAGCGAATTAACTCTATCTCACTAAAACAGAGAACTGAAAATCTTGGTAAATATATGACAAGATGGCCAATACACATCGCCCTCCCATAAGGGTTGACAGAGATCCCTCAGCCTTTTCAGTGCAGACTCTTATTCCTGTAACTATAGTTACCTCTTACTATAACCCACCCCATGCTCTTTAAAAAAACATTTCTAAGGGAAGCAGACGTTGAAATATTATTGTTTCAGGGCCCTAAGAATTATCTTAAGAGCTAACACTTCTGGAAAGAATAGAATTTGACCATCTTCACAATATAGGCCAGGAAAATCTCCATAATACAGGGTCATTAGGCATAGTTTTCCATATCACTGAACAGTACCTATCTCAAGCTTAAATATCATTGTGCTGCAAGTTAATAGGCAACATATTCTGATCCTGTGAGGTAGCCTAACCATATGAGGGCATAGTTTTGTAAATGGGGAAAAAAATCAGTCTCAATAAATGTCATTTCCCTCCTGTATAGAGCATTTTAAATGATTATGTGCAGATCACTAAAACTATTGAATAAACTCTGATCATTTATATGAATTAAAATATAAGTATATAAATAGTGATGGTGAGTGAAAAAAAACCTGTTTTTTTCTTATACCACAATCAACACAGAAAACTTCTGTGACCAAATGTATGGAAGTTTTTCCCCACACACAATGCAAGAAGTCAATTCTGCAATGGATACCAGCTGGGTGTCCTCCAAAACAGGAGTCAAAGACCAAATATGTATTTTACAACAATGCTGATGACTTGAGGATCTTTTAACATAGTGACTAATAAGCTAACCTATGTGTTTTATAGTTTTATTCCCTTAGCTTTGTGCCTTTAATTCTCTATGCAAATTAAACTTGATTATTGAGAAGAATTATTTATTCTTTCCTTAACCAGATCATCTCTGTTGGAGAGGGCACTTGTAGAACTTGTGAAAAAATTCATTCATCTGTTTCCTGACATTTTGCTTCAAAATGTTATCTCTTTACATAGGATTTGGAAACACTTCAAGTACCAGTGGAAGTAAACTACCCCTCCAAGAGTCAAAGAGCAAATTCCAAAGAGAAATGTCAAACAGGCAAGTTTTAGAATTTTGGTTTGTAATACTTACAACTTTATATCCTCTTGACACATAATTGGAGATGGGAATCAAGTCATTCGTTGTCAGAGGAGCTATAAGGTATCAGCCAACCTAAATCCTCTCAGTCTTCGAGGTGTGTTTCACAAAGTGCTGTTGTCAGACCAAAAGCATCAAAACTCACCTAGTGCTGAATATTAAAAATGCACATTTCTGAGTTCTGTATTAGACCTACTGAATTTTTGTTTTTGAGACTAGTGCTCAGGAGACTTAAAAACCAAATAGGAGTCTGGCAAATAGAAAAGTGGCAGATAGGCATTCCAGGTAAAGGGAAACATCTGTAAAGAGATAAGTCTTGAAAAGGAATTCCATGCTCAAGGATCAGTACAAAGTGGTATGTGTGGCCACGGCATTAAGGCTGACATTGCTGAAGTCCTATTATGAGGGCCTTGACTGCCATGCTTAGACACCTGTACTGAATTCAGTCACTCAGGGGGGTCACAAACCCAAATGTCTTTAGGATTTGGTAGGCCAAGGCCAACTGTAGCGTGTCCACCAGTTCCAGCCAGTTGTTGCTAAGCCAGAGATGAGACTAGTTCTCAAATACACTGGTTTTTCAAGAAAATATAGGCATCTGAAATTTTATGTGAGATCTTAATATTTTTAAATTTTGATAACTAATTCAAATAAATGTGATATACTCTAAGCAACCTCCTCCAAATAATAATGATGGTGATGATAATGTTTATAGACTAGATGTAGTCTAGGGCCCTCTAGTTTTTTGACCTGTATAGTACGCAGTGAGGAAGCACTCTAAGTATTTAAGCACAGGAAAAACAATTTGATCAGAAAAAAAATCACTCTAACAGCAGCATGAGTTGCAGTAGAATGAATTGCAGGGAGTGGAACCACCAGGGGTGTGGTGGCCAGTGAGAAAGGGAGAGTATGATGAGGCCTAAACTAGGGTTCAAGGTGATAGAAACAGATTCGTGGTTGGATTTTAAACATTTCAGAAATAAAACAGATTCAAGTCAGGCACAGTGACTCATGCCTGTAATCCCAGCACTTAGGGAGGCGGAGGCAAGAGGATTGCCTGAGCCCAGGGGTTCAAGTCAAGACTGGGCAATATGGTGAGACCTCATCTCTACAATAAATCCAAAAAAAATTAGCCAGATATGGTGGCACACACCTGTAGTTCCAGCTACTTGGAAGGCTGAGGTGGAACGACCGCCTGAGCCCAGCAGATCCAGGCCATGATAGCTATGATTGTGCTACTGCACTCCAGCCAGGATGACAGAGTAAGACTCTGAGTCAAAAACAAACAAACAAATAAATCTATTTAACTTGGCAATTGATAAGATATGATAGCTGAGAAAGAGGAAAGAATACATAGCAACTGGGTAGATGAAAATGTTATTTGAAGAATATGAGAGCATAAGAGATTTAGAATGGAAAACAATAATTTTAGAAATGTTCAATTTGAAATATCTCTGCAGAAATACAAAATATGTTTGGAAATATTAGACTTGATTAGAAATCAAAGGAGAGAAATTATGACCAAAGCCAAAACTTTCCAAAACAGAAGAAATTCCACTTTTTATTAGGGTCTGATTTACTAGCTAAGGATTATTTATTTCTCTGCTTAAATACAATACTAAATTTGTGGTGCCCTTTGGAATTTTTGCTGTTTTTAAAAAAAACTATTATTTTATGTTATTATAAAGATGTGGAGTATAATTCAGGGTTAGGTATACAAATATTGATTATGCAGGTACCCTTGTTGATGACGTATGCCCTTTCCTCCCCTAGTGGTTGGTTTCCCTCAACTGCCAATCCCACCCCGCTCCCCTAACAGTTTCCCATTATTACCAAATGCTTTCTTTTTTCTTTTTCTTTTTTTTTTTGAGTTGGAGTCTCACTCTGTCGCCCAGACTGGAGTACAGTGGCCACTCCCGGCCACCACAGCTCGACCTGCTGGGCTCCGGCGATCCTTCCGCCTCAGCCTTCCAAGTAGCCAGAATTACAGTCATGCGCTACCACACCCGGCTGACTTTTTGATTTATTGTAGAGATGAGGTCTCGCTGCCCAGGCGGGTCTCAAACCCGCGGGCTCAGGCAATCCACTCACCTCAGCCTCCCAAAGGTGCAGGATTACAGGCCTGAGCCACCGAGCCCGGCAAATGCTTTCTTATAGTATTATAATTGTTCAAGGTCCACTTATGAGTGAGAACATATGATACTCTGTTCTTTGTTTCTGTGATAGATCACTGAGTAGGATCGACTCCAAATCCATCCAAGTTGCTGCAAAGTCCATATATTTGTCCTTCTTCATGGCTGCATAATATTTCACATTTTCTTTATCCAGTCCAGCTTCAATGGGCAACATGGTTGTTTCCATGCTTTTGCTATTGTGAATAGAGCTGCAACAAACATGCGTGTGCAGGTATCTTTTGTAGAATGATTTGAGTTCCTCTGGGTATATTCCCAATAGGGGAATTGCTGGGTCATTTGGAAGGTCAATTTCTAGTTCTTTCAGAAATTGCCACACTGTCTTCCAAAGAGGTTGTACTAGTTTGCATTCTCACCAGCAGTGTAGAAGCTTCCCTTTTTCTCCACATCCTCACCAGCATCTGTTGTTGTTTGTTTTATTAATGATGGCCATTCTTACTGGGGCTAGGTGGTATCTTAATGTGGTTTTGATTTGCATTTCTCTGATGATGTGTGAGGCTGAGCACTTTTTCATGTGTCTGTTGGCTGCCCGTATATCTTCTTTTGAGAAGTGTCTATTCATGTCTTTTGCCCACTTTTTAAAGGGGTTGTTTGTTTTTTCCTTTTGGCACATTTGAGTTCCTTGTAGATCCTAGATGTTAGGTCTTTGCCAGATATACAGCTGGCAAATATTTTTTCCCATTCTGTGGGCTGTCTTCCTACCCTCTTGATGGTTTCTTTTGGTCTGCATAAGCTTGTTAGTTTGATTAGGTCCTACTTGTCTATCTTATTTCTTAGGTATTGACCTTTAGGTTCTGAATAGGAATTTGTTGCCAGAATTTTTGTTGTTATTTAATTATTGCACTGCTCATTAACATTAATGTCACAGAATCATAGATTTCGTAGAATTTCAGAGCTAAAGGGAACTTAAGTATCCTTGAATTCAAATTCCCTGGCAAGTAACAATGCCATCTCTACCAAGACATTTCCAAAGACTAGGACCTCATTTACTTCAAAACTGTTTGTTCTATGTTTGGTTTTTTCAAATCATTCAATAGCTTTAGAAAATATTTGCTGACTGGGCTCGGTGGCTCATCCTGTAATCCCACGCTTTGGGAGGTCGAGGTGAGTGAATTGCCTGAGCCCCACGGGTTTGAGACCCACCTGGGCAGCTTGGTGAGACCTTATCTCTACAATAAATCAAAATTGAGCCGGGCATGGTAGCGCACACCTGTAGTTCCAGCTACTTGGAAGGCTGAGGTGGAAGGATAGCTGGAGCCCAGCAAGTTGAGGCTGCAGTGGCCAGAGCAGTCACTGCACTCCAGTCTGAGTAACAGAGTGAGACTCCAACTCAAAATAAAATAAAATAAAATAAAAAATATCTGCCTAGGGTTTGTCTTTTTATCACTTCCAGTCATTGGTTTTAATGCTGAGTCATGTAGAATAAACAGACATAAGCATCAAAGTGGAACAAAGCTGTAGGTGTAGAGAAGCAAAAAATAGATGAATCCTAAGCAGGAAGATAACCAGGCACATGAATGGTTTTGTGCACCACACCTTTACAAAACAAATAATTCTGGAAGAGTGACACAACAGATGACAAGTGGATTTAAGAATGAATCCTAACAAGAAGCCATTGAGAACCTGGAAGCAGAAGTTGCTGTTGGGAAAAGGCCCGCAGGACCTGAGGATCTGAGGCGGAAAGGAGACGTGCTTTTCCTTTTATGCCCTTTTTACTACTGTAAATCCTTGTCATGTATATATATTTATTAGTCAATGACGAGAGGATCTAACCCAATTGGCATATGTGATTCTTCCCTTCCCCCCGCTGCCCACTGTTCCTGGCATGGCTTCCACATTTTAGCCTTTAAGTGTCAGCTTAAACTGTCTCCTCCTCAGAGATGCACTGATTACCATCTTTTAAAAATCAGTTTATGCCTCTACCCTCTTATTTTTCTTATGATATTACCCAGTTCATTTCCTTCAGACTCTATCATTGTATATATGTTTGTTTTTATTCATTGTCTACTAGATGGTAACTCCCTGAGGGTTCATTGGCCACTTTATGCCCCACTTCTAGTACAATATCTGGCATATGGTAGTGAATGACAAATGCGTTTTAATGAATGAATTAATACAGAAGGTTAAGGAAGAATTCTGGTATATAGTTATAGATAAGAAGTTAACTAGAGGTGTCTTTCTACAGTGAGACCAGAATAGACAAAGGAGATTAAAAGTTAAGCAAATGGAATTTAGAAAAGATTTATAGGATTCTAGTAATGAACAATTAAACATAAGACTTATTTTATTTAATTAATTAATTTATATTTTATTTTATTTTTATTTTATTTTTTTGAATTGGAGTCACTCCGTTGCCCAGGCTGGAGTGCTGTAGCACACCACAGCCACTCCAGGTCAACCTGCTGGGCTCTGGCGATCTTTCCGCCTCAGCCTTCCAAGTAGCCGGAACTACAGGCGCACACTACCCCACACAGCTAATTTTGATTTATTGTAGAGATGAGGTCACCAAGTTGTCCGGGCTGATCATAAGACTTAATTTGAAAGAAAACTGTTAAAAACATATTTCTGTAGTTCCTTAAGAACAGTATTCTTACCTAATTTGGAATATATATATTGTGGTTTGGGCTAACAGAAAAGAGGTATCCCAACTTCTCCATGAGTATAAGGAACAGAGCAGCAATTTTTTGTGATAAATATACTTTAGTCATATTCAAAAAAAAATAAACCCACTATGATCCAAATTAGAATGGTTTGTTTTTCTTGTTTGCCATAATTTAAAAATAATTAATTTTAATTTTTAGCTTTGTTTCATCACTTGAGAAGCCAGATATTTATTTACCAAGCTCTGCTATGTCCGAGTTCAGTGCCTCCTCCATGACAAAATTACCTCAACAAGCTGGAAATGCAAATATTGTAAGAAGTAATACTTCTTTGCTTCGTTTTTCTTTTAAATTTTGCCTGAATGCTTAAACTTTCAGTGATTGTTATTTTTTATTTCAAATATAGGTCCATGTGCAAGAAAAAAAACAGCAAAATCTGTCACCAGAGATTGAGAGGCTATGCTTCACTCGCTCTAAAAAAGTAACAAATTCTTCAAAGTGTAAAGAAGTGGATTTTTTTATTAGAAATAGTGAGTGTAAAAAGGAAATCGATTTCAGGTAAGAACTCTTTAAAGACATTTCAAGATTGTACCAATAAAAAACTTTTTACAAAGAAATTCAGCATTTCTTTTTCCTTGGTTCATTTTAGAGATCAGAACCTGAACATTTTATTTATTAAAGACATTGAAATTTTAGTCTTCTTGGTGAGCTAAACTCCTTAAGATGTTTCACAATACCAAATATCTCAGTTTTTGAAAACCTATATATTTGATGCTATTGATTCAGAAATTATTTCGAGTTGATAAACTTACTTTTACTGATCTGAATACAGTCTGTTAATTGTGTAAAGTATAAAATCACTTGAGAAATCCAAATGAGATCAGCTAAGTTTTCAAAAGTTCAAGTTGTATTTCAGCCAACCAATTACTTCACAATTCAACCGGTTCAGTGAAAATCTAATCTAATTAAATCTAATCAGTGTCCCCACTGCAGGTCCTTTTATTAACAGAATGGGAAATTCTGTAGCAACTTCTCTCTCTTCTTGAAGAGACAAAGATTAGAGACCTGTTCACACCTTTTTTTTCTTGGCCTGGTCAGTGGGAGTGCAGAAGGAACAAAGAAACCTGTAACTAGCTGTGATCAGTTGGTTGCAAACACCACTTCTCTCAGACCAGCCTGTTCACACTTCTACTAAATGTCATTATTTTTAGTAAGTTTAAAGAAATACCTTTACAGTTCCCACCTTTCACAGTTATGAAGTCTAATTTTCCCCTACAGACTTCCTACAATGTTATGCAAACTGAAGCTCACTTGATGTATCACCCTCACAGCAATCTTCAAGTTTATCTACGTTGTATTTAGTATTACATTATTTATTGCGTATTTTAAAATAGTGTTACAAAAATTGTTATTTTTACTTTTACTTCTTTCCTCTCAGTAGGGATCATCTTGATGATGAAGCTGATGAAATGAAGTATTTTCTGGGAATATTTGATGGCATTTTCTAAAGCAAACAAACAAACAAAAATATCAGTTATATCACTAAGACAAAGAATAAAGACACCTAATTACAAAGCATGCTTTTTATTTTTAAAACATAATTCATGATTATTCAGTTTTTACTCTTGAATTTGATCAGCTTTGTTGAACTTTTTTTTGCAACAAAATATATGGACTGATTTATTTTCCCTGTTATATTGTCACTTTTTGAGAAGTACTTTTATAGTAGCTTTGTTTCAATAAACTGAAACTAAGTCGCATTTATAAATAATTATTTTGTTATTAATTGGATTTTGACAACAACTGATTTAAATTTTTATTTTTATATTTTCTTGACCAGAAGAAAGGTATTCTGTGAAAGCAAAATAATGCTAAGTTAGTTAATCTATTCATTGTATGGATTAATCACTAATAATTGTTCTCATGTATTTTGTTTTACTAAATATTTGTAAGAATCCAATGGCTGTTTGAATCTACTGTTATCTAACGCTGAGCAATAATAAATATTAATCAATATAAATTGTTGTTTTGTTTAGCTTGTTTTTTAATGTTGTGAACTATAAAACTTTTTAATGTTGACTTTTACTATAGTAAAAAGATATTTTATATTATTTTCCAATGAATTATATTTCAAATTTGTTTATTTGAAAATAGTATATAGATGCCCTAAGCAATGCTTATCATGCAATTTACTACTTATAGATACCATGTGACGTTAAAGCCCACTTTAGAAGCTGTGAAATTTCTTTTTTAAGCATAAAAACCTTAGTGGCAAGAGAAGCAAATAAGAGAAACTTCCGGATGAAATTGTTACTGTTATTTTTAGTAAACGTATGTGAGGCATCATATGAATTAAACTTAGATAAAAAGAACAAAACTAAGTGGTTTTGTCTCTGTGTTGAAAAAGAAGGGCAGCCAGTTCCTTTCTTCTAGTCCTCTTTACAATTGGTATGTTTCTGCATCTGAATCAATCATACTACAACCTTTAAACCTTCTTAAACACCATTAAGATGAAAAATTGGTGCACTACGTTCTGCTCATCTTACCTCCACAGATTTGACACTAAAGAAATAGCAATTTAATTCAACATGACTTATTGTAATCTGCTAAGTGAAAAACACTGTACTTGGTACCATAAAGAATGAAAACACGGTTTCTGTTCTTGTGGAGCTTAGTTTACATTCTGGTAAAGAAGTTAAGATGTGTAATGAAGTAATAATAAAATATGGAATACATTAGAGCAACACCCAGAGATCATTTGCTCAAGGGATTGATACGTTAGAAGGAGCCAGATACTAATCATCAGGACAATGGGAGAAAGACCCTGAAGGCATTTCAGAGATCTAGGGGGCCCCTTTGGCCTGAGGCCTTGTAGGTCCAATCCCCACCCTGGTGTGCATGGAGTCAAGAGAGATGATTCCCTGACTTTGAGGTTTTTTTTGAATTGGAGTCTCACTCCATCATCCAGGCTGGAGTGCAGTGGCACACTCATGGCCACCCCAGCGTCGACCTGCTGGCCTCGGCGATCCTTCTGCCTCAGCAGTCCAAGTAGCCGGATTTTGATTGTAGAGATGAGGTCTCACCAAGTTGCCCAGGCTGTTCTCAAACAATCCCCTCAGCTCAGCCTCCCAGAGTGCTGGGATTATAGGCTTGAGCCACCGTGCCCAGCCTGACTTTAAGATTTAATGTCTGTCACGAATCATCCAAGAAATGCAAATTAAAACCACAATGAGCATCGATTTACATCAGTCAGAATAGTTGTCATTAAAAAGGCAAAGAACAACAGACATTGGTGTGAATGCAGAGAAAAGGGAACGCTCATATCATACACTGTTGGTGAGATTGTAACTAGTTCAAACTCTGTGAAAAACAGTGTGGAGATTTCTCAAAGAACTAAAAGTAGAACTACCAGTTGACCCAGTAATCCCACTACTGGGTTGTTGGGCGCCAGCCATGGAGTCCCACTGAGCGTAAGGGATCAGGAAGGGCTGTTGACCCCAAGACCACTAGGATGCGTTTGGGAACTATTTGACCCCATTTCCTCCCCCTTTCTACTCAGCACTAACCAGATTAAGCTCCTGTAAGCTCAAAACATAGAAACTCTGAGACCGGGATGAACACAAGCTAACTTTAGAAGCTCATT